ACTGCTGCAAGTTTAAGTCTTTGTCACTGTGCACCTGTGAGTCCTTTGTGTGGAGGAAATAGCTGTTCTATACCTGATTTACACCACTCATTACATTCCTACACTCCCTTCTGTGGAGATCCAAAACTTTAAGTTATTTTTCCCAGAGTGCTGGGGTAGGGCCATAGAGAGTCACAGAGTTTGTGAAAAATTGCAATTATAATAATGGCTAACATTTATATGGCACTTATGTGTCAGGCACTTTACAATTACCATCTTATTTTATCCTTACAACAACCTTGGGAGATAAAGTGCTATTATTATCCCCATTTTACAGATGAAGAAACTGAGTTTAATGATTTGCCCAGGGTCACACAGCTAGTAAGCGTCCACAGCACCACTTAGCTATCCTAGTTTTTTTTTTTTTTTTTAGGAGCTAATCCCTCCCCCTTTCAAGGAGCCTGGCTCCCCCTGGACTAAACCTGGTCCATGCAGATGGGTCTAGAGCTAAGGCCTCCTTTATTTTTTAATGATATCTTATTTCCCCCCCACCAATTACATGTAAAAACAATTTTTAAAATTCATTTAAAAATTTTTGAGTTCCAAATTCTCTCCCTCCTTCCATCCTGAGATGGTAAGCAATTTGATATGTCATACATGTGTTATCATGCAAAACATTTCCATATTAGTCATATTGTAAAAGAAAGCACAGACTAAAAAAAAACATGAAAAAATAAATTGTATGAGTATATTTACTCTGATCTGATACTCTCATCTCTTTGAGGACTTGCCACATTTTGCTGTGACATACATAGACAAAGGCTTTAGTGTAGTCAATGAAGCAGTAGATGTTTTTCTGGAACTCCCTTGCTTTCTCCATAATCCAGCAAACATTGGCAATTTGGACTCTAGTTCCTCTGCTTCTTCTAAAACCAGCCTGCTTGTCTGGTAATTCTTGGGTCACATATTGCTGAAGCCTAGCTTGCAGAATCTTAAGCGTAACCTTGCTGGCATATGAAATGAGTGCAACTGTTTGGTACATTCCTTGGCATTGTCCTTCTTTAGGATTGGGATATAAACTGATCTTTTCTAATCCAGTGGCCGCTGTTGAGTTTTCCAAATTAGCTGGCATATTGAGTACAGCATTTTAACAGCTTTATATTTTAGGATTTTAAATAGTTCAACTGGAATTCTATCACCTCCCCTAGCCTTGTCAGCAATGCTTCCTAAGGCCCACTTGACTTCATTCTCCAGGATGTCTGGCTCTAGATCAGTACCCACATTGTCGTGGTTATCAGTGATGTTAAAATCCTTTTTTACATAGTTCTTCTGTGTATTCTTACCATCCCTAAATCTCTTCTGCTTCTGTTAAGTCCCTATCACTTTTGTCTTTCATCATGCCCATTCTGGCAAGAAATTTTGATATCTCTAATTTTCTTAGAGAGGTCTCTTGTCTTTCTCATTCTATTGCTCATTTAAGAAAACCTCATCTGTTTTTGCTATTCTCTGGAATTGTGCACTCATTTGGGTTTATTTTTCCCTTTCTCCTTTCACTTTCCTTCTTTCCTCAGCTATTTGTAAAGCTTTATCAGCCATTTTACTTTCTTGCTCTTCTTTTTCTTTGGAATGTTTTTTGTTGTTAGCTCCTGTACAATATTGCAAACTTCCATCCATAGTTCTTCAGGTACTCTATCTACCAGATGTAATCTCTCAAATCTATTCATTACTTCTACTTCATATTCATCAGGGATGTTATCTAGGTCATACCTATGCTGTTTAAAAGTTTTCTCTACTTCCTTCAATTTAAGTCTGAATTTTGCAATAAGAAGTTCATGGTCTGAGCCACAGTCATCTCCAGGTCTTGTTTTAGCTGACTGTATAGAGCTTATCCACCTTTAGCTGTAAAGTGTATAATCAATCCGATTTCAATATTGACCATCTGTTGATGTCCATGTGTAGAGTTGCTTTTTGGAATGTTGAAAGTGTTTGCAATGACCAGTGGGTTATCTTGACAAAACTCTGTTAGTGTCTGCCCTGCTTCATTTTGTACTCCAAGCCCAATTTTACCTGTTATTTGAATTATCTTTTGATTTCCTACTTCAGTATTCCAATCCCCTATGATGAATGTGACATCTTTTTTAGGTGTTATTTCTAGACATTGTAGGTCTTTTATAGATCAGCTTTGGCCTCTTCAACATCAGTGGTTGGAGCATGGACATATTACTGTGATGTTGAATGGTTTGCCTTGGATTCAGATATCATTCTGTCATGTTTGAGATTATATCCCAGTATTGCTTTTCTCACTCTTTCATTGACTATAAAGGCTACTCCATTTCTTCTAAGGAATTCTTGCCCACGGTAGTATATGCATGGTCACTTGAATTAAAATCACCCATTCCTGTCCATTTGAGTTCACTGATACCCAAGATGTGTGTTTAATCTTTCTATCTCCTGTTTGACCATATCCAGCTTACCTTAGTTCACATAGCTTACATTTCAGGTTCCTATACAATATTGATCTTTACAGCATTGGACTTTTCTTTTGTCACTACACACATCCACAGCTGAATTTCCTTTTGGCTTTGGCCCAGCTGCTTCATTAGTACTGGAGCTACTTCTTCTTGTCCTCCAATCTTTCTCAGTTGCAT